TCGAAAGGGCTCGAAATGAAAAAAAAAACTTAAACTTAACTCGATTGAAGCCTCAAATTCAAATTTAAACTTAAACTTTAAATACATGAAAACCTTACTGTATTTAAAAAAACAACCAATAAATGTTAATCTTAATATATTATATTTTTAAGATGCTCACGAGTTTTTCGAGTCGAGTATCAAGTAGCTCGTTTCGGCTCGTTAAAAACTCAAGTCAAACTCGAGCTAGAGTCGAATCCATTCGATATGAGTATTTATCGAGCATTGACAAAGTCAATCTTGAATAGCTTGCGAGCTGTCTCTTCTCATTTACAATCCTAACTATGACCCTACTCATAGTTTGAAAATTGCTCAAACTAATAATAAGAAGTTATGAATGGCACCCCAAAGAGGATCACTTTATGTTTTGGTATGCATAATACTTTAAATATATTTAATTTTTTTATTAGTAATCACTAGTTATAAATGTTGTGTATATATATATATTGAAACTCTGATTAAAACTGATATAAATACCGTTAATGATTTATTAAATGATTATATCTTACAAAAAGACGGATTTTATGAAATTTTATTTGTGTGATCTCTAAGATCTAATCCTAGTGTTTTAGCTGAAGAAAATCGCCTCAGTGACCAAAAATGCCTTATAATATACGATTTTAACCAACTTTTTTTTGATTTGCCAAAATGACCAACAAAATCGCAACGCGATATCAAAACCGCAACGCGATTTAGAAAAGCGCAACGTTGAAAAGAAGATCGCAACACGATCTTCCAAGAATCGCAATGCGATTCATAAAATCGCAACGCGATCTTCCAAGAATCGCAACGCGATTCAGAAAATCGCAACGCGATTCAGAAAATCGCAACGCGATTCAGAAAATCGCAACGCGATCTTCCAAGAATCGCAACGCGATTAAGAAAATCGCAACGCGATTCCAAGAATCGCAACGCGATCTTCCAAGAATCGCAACGCGATTAAGAAAATCGCAACGCGATTCCAAGAATCGCAACGCGATCTTCCAAATCGCAACGCGATTAAGAAAATCGCAACGCGATTAAGAAAATGAGTAAATTCTTTCAAAAGTTGTTGCATTTGTTTCTTTCAAAAGATATATTTGTTTCTTTTCAACGTTGCGCTTTTCTAAATCGCGTTGCGGTTTTGATATCGCGTTGCGATTTTGTTGGTCATTTTGGCAAATCAAAAAAAAATTGGTTAAAATCGTATATTATAAGGCATTTTTGGTCACTGAGGCGATTTTCTCTTTTAGCTGGGTCTAAAGGATCATAATAGCAAATGCCCTGATGGCAAGCACGTGTCCTAAGGGGTTTGGACTCCTGGGTTTGAACCAGCACCCCAAATCAAATTATATTTTAAATAATAAATGGTAAATCCATAGATCGAACCCCAAGTTTCGTAGAAAACTCTCAGTGATTTTCCATTTTACCCTTATAATTTTGTAAAAGAATTAATTTCACCCTAACAAGGAACGAACATGTAATTAAATTCTAACTTTTTATCTATTAATTGCATATTTATTTAAATCATTAAATCATTTAACCAAAGTATCATGATTGAATTCTATCATAAAAAAATTATAAAAAGTTCTTCGAAACGTGCCTAGTAAGTTTGTTGAAGGCTATAGAGGGAAAAGATAAAAGGAAAGAAATGTGCGTGATGATGATCTAGGTAAAGTTGGAAATGTCGGCAAGTTTGAAATATTTTTATTTCTCTGATTATTAGTTTGATTAAGGGATAAATAATATTTAAATAGATAAGGTGTGTAAAATTCATTAGTTTTGTAGAAAGCTACTTTTCGACCTGGTTTAGCCGACAAAAAGGGTAAAATTCATTTTTGATATCGAGTGGATTTCTCTATTGAGGAATAAGTTTCGATGATATATAAATCAATCACTATGTAATTTTTAAATAGAATAATAAAAAATATTTATCAAATCAAATGTCTAATGATCAAATATAATTAACAAATTTGTACAAATAGTAATTATTCATTAAATAATTTTAGCATAATTGTTTTATATTTACCTAAGTAACATAATTTAATATATTAATACTGGCAAGTCATTTTATATTTAATCTTTAGATAGCAGTAAATGAACCAAGTAATTTCAATGGCTAAAAAATTATTATTATCTCTTGAAATCTCAATTTTAAGCATCACACAAGTAGACTTGTATAAACGTTCACTGCTAACAAGGACGAAACGCTGAAGAGACTAGAGGGAGCCATGTGTCACGGACTTAGCCTAGTTGGTTCGGTTGCTAATCCGTGTGGCACTCGAAAGGGACGCTTCCCAACCAAGTCAGCCTTAATCTCGTAGATCTGATCAAGTATAAACAAACATCGCGTTAGATCTTTATAGCCACATGGTCCTTCGACCAATAATCCGAGCCCGTGGGGCATAGCGGATGCACACCTCAACCCCCGGACTTCTCCGAGAGAAAAATGTTTTATTAATAAAAAATCGGGTTACAGAAGACTCACCCACACCACCGATTAGGCCGTAGGGGCGGCCCTCGATGGTGTTCACAAGACACGTACCTTTACCTGTGGATCAGCCCAAACTCTGCCGGCTGTCCACCCCCTACATATATGCGAAAACAAAATAACAGAAATGCTACCTATAGACGTTGAAATGCTCGAACAGGGGACAGTAAGTCATACCCCTACTACCTACCTAAAACATTAAAATGCTTGAAAAGAGGACAAGCTTGTTCTACCCTGCCACTAGGCCCTATACATGGTTGGCCTTGGCGTACCTACCCGGTTGTGGCCCCATAAAAGGGACGGTCACGACAATCTCCCCCACCTAATTTGTCGACGTCCTCGTCGACTGCTTGGCCTGAAACTCTTCAATCTGTTCCTTAAATGCCCTGAGATCATACTCTCTTTCCCAAGTGTTCTCTTCCTGATCAAAGCCTCCCTACTTGACTAGATACTCCCGTCTTTGCTTTCCACCCACCTTAACAATTCTCCCTGCTAGAATCTCGTCAACATGACGCTGTGAGGGTGGTTGTGTGCCGATTGACTCCCTGGCAGACATACTCTGATTATCGATATTGGGATCGGTGTGAAACAGCTTCAAATTGCTCACATGGAAGACAGGGTGAACTCTCATCCAAGTAGGAGGGTCAACTTTGTACGAAGCATTCCCCACCTTTGCTACTATTGAGACTGGACCCTCGTACTTACGCACCAAGCGACGATCCCTCTGGCGTAAAAATCTAAGTTGTTCTGGCATCAACTTGACTAGCACCAAATCTCCAACCTGAAAGTGTAGGTCTCGCCTGTTACGATCTGCGCATTTCTTCATACGCTTCGTTACTTTCTCTAAGTAAGCCTTGGCAATCTCCATATTCTGCTTCCACTCCCCCACAAAATTTGAGGCACGAGGGCATCTACCTTGAGAGGTCTCATCCACAGTGTGAGGAAGTCTTGGCTGCTGACCTGTCACCAGTTCAAAAGGGCTTTTATTAGTAGACGAACTCTTTTGTGAATTAAAACATAATTGCGCCACATCCAATAATGGAGGCCAGTTCTTCTGATTGGCCTGAATAAAGTGCCTCAGGTACTCCTCTAAGAGTCCATTAAATCGCTCAGTCTGACCATCTGTTTGAGGGTGGTAACTCGACGAAAAGTTGAGTTGTGTCCCTAATAACTGGAACAATCCTTTCCAAAATTTCCCAATAAATCTTCCATCTCGGTCACTGACTATGCTCTGAGGAATGCCCCAATATTTCACCACATGTTTGAACACCAACTTAGCAGTCTCTTTCGCCGAACAATACTTTGATGCTGGTATAAAAGTGGCGTACTTCGAGAACCTGTCCACTACCACCAAAATTGATCCAAGATCTTCTACTCGAGGCAAGCGTGATATAAAATCCAAGGAGATACTCTCCCAAGGTAGAGCGGGTACAGGTAGTGGCTCGAGCAACCCAGCAGTCCTCTGTCGATCTACCTTATCTTGTTGACAGATAAGACATGTCTTGGTGTAATCCATCACATCTTGGCGCATTTGAGGCCAATAATACCCTTGTCCTAACAAAGCAACAGTACGCCTCCAACCCGGATGCCCGACCCATGGGGTATCATGACATTCCTTCAACAGCTTCTGTCGTAGGTTTCCAGCTCGAGGAACAAACATTCGTGGCCCTTTTGTCATCAATAAGCCATTTTCTATCCAAAAACATTTCGAAACACCCTTTTTAACCATCTCCATAAGGGCCTCCACTTGCGGATCTTGCTTGGAAAAGTTCACAAGGAGCTGACAAATTTCATTGGACACTCTACTAGCGGATATAGGGGCCACACATCGGAGTGCTGTCAAATCTGCCCTGCGACTCAAAGCATCAGCAACCTGATTCTTTTTCCCCGCCTTATGCTCAAAGTTGAAGTCAAACTCGGCCAGAAACTCTTGCCATCTAGCTTGCTTTGCTGTTAGTTTTGGTTGTGTAAGGAAGTGGCTAACTGCTGTATTATCGGTCTTTACCACAAATTTGGAACCCAACAAATAATGCCTCCAAATCCTCAAGCAATGAATTACTGCGAGAAGTTCTTTCTCTGGAGCCGTATATCTCGCTTCAGTTTCATTTAGCTTCCTACTCTCAAACGCCACGGGATGTTTGTCTTGTAAGAGTACGCCTCCAATTGCATAGTCGGATGCGTCTGTCTCTACTACTAGAGGTTTTTCCAGGTCTGGTAAGGTAAGCACTGGTTCACTGATTACAACCTTCTTTAAATCGTCAAAGGCCTCTTGACAGTCCTTGGACCAAACCCACTCGCAGCCTTTCTTCAGCAAATCGGTGAGTAACTTTACTCTACGAGAATAACCTTCTACGAATCGTCTATAATAATTGGCCAAACCAAGGAAAGATCTAATCTCACTAACATTTTGTGGGGTCGGCCACTCCTGGATAGCCTTCACCTTCTCTTTACCCATACGAATGCGCCCTCGTTCAATGATGTGGCCCAAAAATTAGACTTGTGTTTGGGCGAAAGCACATTTCTCCTTCTTTACAAACAACCGATTTTCCCGTAATCTCGTCAGCACCAACCGAAGATGCTCCAAGTGCCCTTCTATCGAATTGCTAAAAATCATTATATCGTCCAAGTAGATGACTACGAATTTATCGAGATAGTCATGGAACACCTGGTTCATTAAAGTGCAGAAAGTAGCGGGAGCATTGGTTAGTCCAAAAGGCATAACGAGAAATTCAAATGCTCCATACCGAGTTACACATGTCGTCTTTGGCTCATCCCCTTCGGCCACTCTCACTTGATGGTATCCCGACCTGAGATCCAACTTCGTGAAATACTTAGCATTACTCAGCTGGTCGAACAAATCAACAATCAACGGAATGGGATATTTATTCCTGACAGTCACTTTGTTTAATGCTCTATAATCAACACATAATCTCAAACTCCCATCATGTTTTCTCTGGAATAACACAGGTGCCCCGAAAGGTGACTTCGAGGGTCGAATAAATCCTGCTTGGAGCAACTCATCCAACTGTTTCCTCAACTCTGCCAACTCCGGAGGACTCATCCGATATGGGCATTTCGCAGGAGGTTTTACTCCCGGAATTAATTCAATCTCATGGTCCACCAACCGTCTAGGGGGCAACTCTTTCGGCAATTCACCCGGCATTACATCCTCAAAGTCTCTCAGCACTTCTTGAACATTCCTGGGCACCAGGCCAGGATTGTCATCCTCTTTAGAAATTGGAAAGACTAAGAAGGAGGGCTCCCCTTTTTTTCACCCCTCTCTTAAATTGGATAGCGGACAATATCTTCTTCCCAGGACGAGGGAGAATCGTAGCTGGTACCACACATGGCTGCTCCCCCATGAACATTAAACAACTTGATGCCGGAACAGGAATCACCTGGGATGCCATCATAAAATGGAGCCCTAATACCACGTCAAAATCATCCATATGGGAAACAGTGAAATCTACACTTCCTTCCCAAGACCCAAGCTTGATACTGACCCTCTTCACACCTCCACATATCATTGAAGCGGCAGAGTTAACTGCTTTCATTTGTCCCACCTCCTTGGTGACAATCAACTTACATCTCTCCGCTTCCTCAGGAGAGATAAACGTATCTGTGGCCCTTGTGTCGACTAGAGCTTTAGAGGTTTTCCCATTTACTGAGATGTCCACATACATCAATCCCCTCTCTGGTTCTTTCCTCAAGTTACTCAACTGAGACTGTAATGCAGTTATGAATCGGATGGAGCCCATTCTAGCCGGCTCAGGTTCAGTATCTCCCATGGGAGCGTTCACTCTTTCTCCGTCCTTTGTTGTTGCAACCATGGCATTAAAAGCACTTCGTTGTGGACACTCTACAACCCGATGAGGTCCATTGCAAAGAAAACACCTTAACGAGGGTCTATTCCCTCCATTGCTCGATCCAGGACCAGTAGGGACTTTATTTTGAGCTGGGTCCCTTCCAGGGACTCTTCTATTTGCTCCCCAACTCGATGTTTTCTCCCCTCGAGCCAACTTGTTCCCGCTAACCTGTTGGGTGTTAGCTCCACTCACAGAAGGCGTCTTGCGCTTTCCAGGATGATCGTTATAATCATTAAGGCACTCGGCAGCAGCTATCGCTACTGTCAAATCTTGAACCTTCTGTCTCTGCAACTCGAGTCTAGCCCATGGATTGAGCCCTTCAAGAAAATGAAACAACTTATCTCTTTCTGACATATCCTTTATATCCAACATCAAGGTTGAGAACTCTCTCACATACTCCCGTATAGTCCCACTGTGGGATAATTCCCTTAGCTTCTTACGAGCGTTGTAATCAACATTCTCGGGGAGGAAGGAGGTCTTCAACTCCTTCTTTAACGCATCCCAAGTAGTAATGGAGCACACTCCATCTTTGAACTTGGACCGCCACCATAACTTGGCGTCACCACCTAGATACATCGAAGCCATTGCCACCTTATCTTCCTCAGACTCCGTGCGCATAGCCCGAAAATACTGCTCTATGTCAAATAAGAAATTCTCAAGCTCTTTAGCATCCCTCGCTCCATCAAAGCGTTGAGGATCATGGATCTTGGCTCGTATGCCCACTCTTTCAATAGGGTTTGCGGTCAAACTAGCTACCGCTGCCTGAAGCACACTGACTTGAGCCTTCAGCTCATCATACCCAAGTTGTATCACGCCTATGGCATCTCTTGCCTCATTGCCCAAATCAGTCACTGTCTCAAGCAAATCTTCTTGGGTCTCCTCTACTCTCCTCATACGATCACCAGATATCATATGAGCTCTAAGGGCAGCTAGTGCGGCTTCGATCTCTTCTAGCTTCCGTCGATCAACCGAACCAGTCTCTTGTACAACTGGCTCGGTAGCTTCCTGCTCTACACCTCTGTGAGAGCTTGTCGATCCGCCATTTCGTGTGCGAACCATTCTTGTAACTCGCTGGCACCTCTATGCCTGCAACACAAATAAGCACAATCGTGCCTAAATTAGAAAGGAAAAGAGCACCGCTGTGCTGAATCCATAGCACCTCTGTGCTAGAATTAACGATTGAGCACCTCTGTGCTTCAATCGAGAGCTGACACCTCTGTGTAGCCAAAAGTGATTGAGCACCTCTGTGCTTCAATCGAGAACTGACACCTCTGTGCAGTTAAAAAAAAAAATGACTGAGCACCTCTGTGCTTCAGCCGGGAGCTAACACCTCTGTGTAGCTAAGATGATTGAGCACCTCTGTGCTTCAATCGAGGACTGACACCTTTGTGCAGCCAACTATGATTGAGCACCTCTGTGCTTCAATCTAAATTCTGGCACCTCTGTGCATTGGAATGATTGAGCACCTCTGTGCTACAATCTAAAATCAAGCACCTCCGTGTTTTTACAAATGACCGAGCACCTCCGTGCTGCGGCCTGAGGTGAAGCACCTCTGTGCTAGGTTTAGCACTTGTGCACAGCTGTGCCTCAAGCATGTAACAAGCACTATCATTCTTTACTCAACAAAATGAGCACCTCCGTGCTTTTAGTAAATGAACACGCTCCTCTGTTCTCTGATACCAAGTGTCACGGACTTAGCCTAGTTGGTTCGGTTGCTAATCCGTGTGGCACTCGAAAGGGACGCTTCCCAACCAAGTCAGCCTTAATCTCGTAGATCTGATCAAGCATAAACAAACATCGCGTTAGATCTTTATAGCCATATGGTCCTTCGACCAATAATCCGAGCCCGTGGGGCATAGCGGATGCACACCTCAACCCCCGGACTTCTCCGAGAGAAAAATGTTTTATTAATAAAAGAAATATCGGGTTACAGAAGACTCACCCACACCACCGATTAGGCCGTAGGGGCGGCCCTCGATGGTGTTCACAAGACACGTACCTTTACCTGTGGATCAGCCCAAACTCTGCCGGCTGTCCACCCCCTACATATATGCGAAAACAAAATAACAGAAATGCTACCTATAGACGTTGAAATGCTCGAACAGGGGACAGTAAGTCATACCCCTACTCCCTACCTAAAACATTAAAATGCTTGAAAAGAGGACAAGCTTGTTCTACCCTGCCACTAGGCCCTATACATGGTTGGCCTTGGCGTGCCTACCCGGTTGTGGCCCCATAAAAGGGACGGTCACGTGCACCCTAAAAATATTTAAAATAATATATATATATATATATATAATAATTATTAAATTTACTCTCTCAAAAAATATGTATAAAAACTATTAAATTTAATTCTCAAAAAATTATACTATTTTAGAATTTAAAAATTTATCAATTTTTGAATTATTATTTTATTTTTAAGTGAATGAAAATTTATTTTTTTGTCATTTTTAATTTTAAGATATACAAAAATTATTTATATTATTCTTTGTTTAGTTGTTCATCTTTTTGAGTTGTTTATCTTCATTGAGTTGATCATTTCAATCAAGTTATCAAATATTCATCCTCAAGCACCGCATATGCTAGGGGCATGAGGCTTCATGTCAAAGGGTTGAAAGTCTTAACGCAAATAATAACTTGTATTCAGTATAGATTTATCAAGGAAATGATAATAATTTCATTTCAGTTAAAGGTATTTTTTTCAAATTATTTTTAAATTCCATTTATATTTATGATTTTATTATATATATATATATTATTTGAGTTTGTGAATTTTTCTCCAAAATAAAATTTTAGACACAATTCTAAATAACATTATTATCGTTGTAGTATGTTTCTTTATTTTTTATTCAAATAGGTGAATTTTAAAGATTTATAAGAAAATATTAATGTGATATTTTGATATATAATTTATATTTTAAAATTTTAAAATAATTTTATTAATATATATACAATTTTTTAAAATGACTCCTCAAAAGTTAATATTGTTTTCAGCCACTGAATATTAAATTATTAAAAATATTAAATAATTTTTTTCTTGTGTTCGTCCAAAATTAAAAAAAAAAACTTTACACAGCAGTAAAGTAAAAAGTTTTTGGTTTATCCAACATTATTGTTATCTCACTTGCGATTCTCAGTTAATCCTTTTTGTTACATGGAATTTTTGCTCAAATTCGTGGGATAAATGAATTAAGTTAAATTGAGTTACTTTAGTGGTTAAAAATAATTTTATATTATTTTAAAAACATAGATTTGAATAGTTATGTTTATAAGATATGTATGTATTATTAATAACTAAAACATTTCTAAACATATGATATCTTATAAATGAATCGAACGTTTAACGGACAGTTCGACGAGAAGTTCATTTATGGTCATTTATTTATTAAATGAACAAACATGTTCAATATTGTTTTGTTCGTTTTATTAAAGAACGAACATGAACAAAAAGCTCATTTGTTCATTTACGTTCACGAATATTCGATAATCCGTTTGTTTATATTCATTCGTTTATGTTTGTTTATGTTCGTTCATTTATATTTAGCCTAATCTCCAAACCCATTTAAAATATTAAGACCTAATAACTTTTAACATTAAACTATATATATATATATATTATTAATTTAAGATAACTACATGACAATATCTATTCAAAGATAACTTTCAACCTTTCGACATTGAAAACTCACACATGTCATCTATAGTGCTCGAACTCGGGTTCTCAAGGAATAACAACAATTCCTTTACCACGAAGGTCACTTAGTTCGTGCTAAACTAATTAATATTTTAAAACCAAATTAATTTTAAACCCAAATAAAAATACTCAAATCAATTAAAGAGAATTTAAATCCTAAAAAAACTCTTCTCAAATATAAACCCAATTAATTTTATATTCGTTTGTTTATGTTTATTTATTTGTGTTCGTTTATCATTTTAACGAATAGACATGAATAAACACAAAGAAGCTACATTTCTTAATAAATGAACGCAAACATGAAATTTCGTTCTCTTTAGTTATCCGTGTTCATTCGTTAGTTCGGTTAAAATTAAACGGACGAACATAAATATGCTCTCATTCTTATTCGTTCGATTCATTTACAAGCTTACTTATAATCTCTTCATACTATTAAAAATTCTAATTCCATAATTTCCTTCCCTTAATCCCACTTACCTAGGAAATATAAACAACTCTTCCGCATTTTAAGAGAAGTAGAGTAGAAAGAAGGCCTTCAGAGTAGATGATAAATTAAGAACATTTTATTTAATAATAATCGATTGTTCAATTCTCATCAAATAAAGTCTCAAATAATTATACACATATTTAACTATTTATTTTTTAATTATGTAATATTAATTAGACATGATACCAAAATTAGCCCTAATAATTACTAAAATATTAACTTTAGCCTATATATTTTTCGGAGTATTTTAGTACTCAACTTTTCAATTTTTATTCAAAATGATTTTATTGGATAAAAATCATTAGTTTTTTTTAAAGAATTTTATTCAAATTAGAAAATATCTCAAATTACAATAAATATTTACAATCACAATAGTAAATTAAGCACATAGTTAAGAAATTTTCCTATAATCATTGAAACAAAACTAGCGACTTAAGATTACATAAGGACCATACAAGGAATGATTAAATCTAACCAAGAAACCCGAATAAATATAGATACAAATAGATATGATCGCATAGGCAAAAGAACCACAAAAGTGGATCAAGCTATTGAAAAACAACCGTCATACTGCAAATCAGACTCGAGCGACATGAAAAGCTATCTGCGAATGCAAATCAGGTATCCAAATCCAATCCGAGGTCCTAAGAGGATAATATCATAAGAGATCACATAAGCGATATCTCGATAAGTCGCGGTGATGTCAAATCAACCCTTATAAAAAAGATAAATGAACATGCCAAAAAGCAGAAGAAAACATGTCATAAAAACAGATGAAAATGTGCAACACAAACATATTTATTGAAAAAAAAGAAAAAAGAAAATTAAGATACGATAAAAAAAACAAAAAGGCAATAAAGAATACCGGTGATCGACAACCAATATTAAAGTTGGCGCCGTCGTCGATCAGCAAAGACAAAAAAGAAAATAGAAGAGCGGCATACCAATGAGAAAAAACTAGATAAAAATTATTAGTTAACTAACGATCTATACATATTGTTGATATAATATTTTTATATATGTTTAATTGTTAACCTGTCGCATATCATTTATCACTTTGGATGATATGACATGTGTCATGTCATCATATTTAGGTGATGTGACATGTGTTATACTAACAATTTAGCTCATGTTAAAATATCATATCAACAACACACGTAATAATTAATCAACTAATAATTTTTATCTAACAAAAATCATTTTGACAAAAAAATTAAACGTTAAAGACTAATAAAGTGCTTCAAAAAGATATTGATCAAAATAATCATTAAAATAAATATTAGATACTACTTATAACATTATGCAAATTAATTAAACATACATGGGTCAGAAATTAAGGTAAGAATATATAATCCTCATTTTGTTTTGTATTGTTTTTCTTTATTGAAACAATTAGCAGCCGTAGATGCGAAACAAAATGAAACAAGCAAAAAGAAGAGAATAACTATGACGTGTTATCCAACACAAGGGTGAAGTAACCCGTAAGGATTTGTTTGTTGAAATAATCTTCTTCTTTTCCACACTCATTAAAACTAACTCCATTATTATATGACTAAAAATTGCAACATTAATATCTGGTCCAAGTACAAATTACTTGTTATATAGATTCTTTGATATAATTGAATGTCTCATTTATTTTATTTTAAAAAGCAGAAAATTACATTTTGAATCTTCAATTTAGAGTGCCTAAGTACGATATGATTTAAGTGGTGGGCGATAATGAAAGCTTAGCTACCGTTATTTTTTGTTGTTGAAAGGGTTATCATTGTCGTTACAACTTTGTCAAATCTGCCTCATGTCCCTCCTTAATTTTATCATACGGTATAACAGAGTTAATTCAAGGATAATTATTTCGTATATGGAGAGTGATTTTACAAT